CCCCTCTGTAGCCACTCCCCCCCCCCCCCATTGTTGACGAAAAAAAAGGTCTGACGAAAACAAAATTTGTGACGAAAACAACATTTTTGACGAAAAATAGAATGCCGCGCTTTGCATGGCACCCAAATGCAGTATCTTGTTTTTTTTATTTGTGAGGTTTTAGGAGCCAGCAGCAGAAAATAAAACACACAAAAACAGAGCTCTGCACTAATTGAATACGTCCCAAGAAGCATGTATGCATAAAGAAATCAATTTCAGGGGGGCTTAAACCCCGGGAAAACACACATCACATTTGTGTCTTGGATTTGTAAAGATTAACTCTAAAACTTTATCACATTAAAAATACACTTTGTGACCTGCACTTCACCTCTTCAAAGAAAGAAAAAAGAAAACCTCAAATCTGGCTACCCAAAGCTCCAATCAGTTTCAAGTCGTCAAAATGGCTTTTCAAAACAAGTCATATGACCACAAAATCTGATGATAAAACAAATTATTAGCAACGGGTTCTCTAGCCAAGCTGTCATCGTTGAGTCCTGATATGGGTGATCTGTGGATGTGTAACCTTCTTAATCTCCGTGTCGCGGGACCAAATGTTGGGGAAGGTCTCCAGGGTACAACGCTATGCAGGCCATAGGGGAGAGCTGGGACAGGCAGGTATTTCAAAGTAATTGAATGATGAAAGCAGTGATGTGGCTAAACCTCAGGAAACCCTAAGACCCTGTCCCCATCTTCTTTCTTTCTTCCCTTTGCTTTTTCTTTTATCGCTTGTTCTCTTTTATTGGCTACTGATCGCCATGGAGGATTGATGCCTGAACATCAATGTCTGTCCGTAAGTCTTCTCGGTTTGTTGCCTTGCGCTTGGGGATTACGGCAAACTGGATCAATGTGAGGCTCCTGTCCCAGATATTAGATTCTTGTGCTTTATGTCACAGCTCGGAGAGTTGGCAGAAGTTACAACTTTAGACTGCACTGGTTCAAATTGGAGGGAAAAAAAATTGACGACAGCAAAAACATGTGAACGATAAATCGGCCATCTCATCCAAGCCTTTGGTTTGTGTTCAATTCTCTGGACTTGTGACCAAGTTTGATGGAGTTGTAGTGGTCACCTGACCAACAGGCACGATCTAATTGGTCAATGCGCACTGTTTGATTGACAAGCAGGAAGGTTCCGTTATCAACAGGAAAAGATAAAACAAATACATTATTCTTGGTAACACATCAAATTTCTTATGCAGCGGTTTGAAATGTAGGCCGGATATTTTCAGTTTTGAGCAGCAAAGCTGAAGATATAACAGGATCTGTTTCTCAAAACACAACCGGCAATTTTCCAACTGGGTGTGAAAAAGGAATGGAAAAGTTTACAGCCGCAAGACCAACCAAGGTCATTTGGGGTCAACCAAGGTCAAGAGCGGGTGAGCATGTCCAGGGAGAGTTCACCCCAGAGATGATACCCTTTTGATGTTGGTGGTAATGCTCTGACAGGCTCCTGACAGGTTAAACTAAACACCACTGATAAAAAGTACAGATATCTGATTTCCTCGGGTCGGATAGAAACTAATTTTGTTAGAAGCCAAAGGTGGCGGGGTGGGGTGGGTTGGGTTGGGGGTGGTAAATGGGACTTGACCAAATGAATTGGGGGTCACAGGGGGGCAAGCAAGGTGGGACCAAAGGGTGCTTGGGTGAGGCAATCTAGGGTATGGCTAATCTATAGTGATCTGTCATTGGGCTAAATGACAGCGGGGAATATCACTGAGAAGTTGACTTAATTTACAAAGGAAGGAAAAATGGTTAAGGAAAAAGCCACTTTAAGCTGTGATATGACTGTTCCATACATGAACTTACGAATGCCAAGGGATAAGTTTAGAGCCCTTTTAAGAAACAATCTTTACTTGGTTATAAAAAAAGAAAAAGAAATAAAAATTGCATCATTTAAAGACACACAATTCTAAAGAAAATAAATTGCTTTGGTCAAAGACAAGCAATTTTAAAGAATTGAAATGAATGTTCATTCCATTACTTAGAGGCTGGTTTTCCAATTGTTATTTTTAAGTGGCTCGATTGTTTTTTTGTTTTTTTTACATACTTTTTTGTACACATCAAGCATCAGTGGTCCTTTCTTTAAAATATAAACTTTTGAACACCATGCCAACATTCTTACTTTGCATCAATTCATTACTGCATTTAGTAATATCACTTCAGCATTTCTGCTTCAGTAAATATCTCTTTTAGAAGTCCGCGCTACGGTGTTTCATCTCCAAACTGGCTCGGCATCCTTTCTAAAAACCACTCAAGCCCCGGCTGGAATTTTTTTCTGGCCAGTTCCCCAAAGAGCCATTCCTCCTGTGATAACTTGCAGCTGAGCTCTGTCAGGCAAACCGCAAGATAAACCAGGAAGAGAGAGGCTTCCTAACTTCAAAAGGATGTCCTACTTTTTTTTTCTTCTCCTCACTCCGAGCTCCTTCTCACAGATGATTGAAACGGGCACGGGCCAAACACCAAGGCATAAAAGAATGCCTGGTTCAATACAAGAGTTGTCATTGGCTGGCCGTTCTGCCGGCATGCAGACTGCTGGAGACACAAAACCGCATGCTGTCTGATGTCATCACCAATATGTTACATATTCTGGGAAAAGAGAAGGGGGGGGGGGTTGGGGGTCTCTATACCCCATCAAATTGATGAATGATTTTCGTCGATGATAGATGGGTCTATAGACTCATTTCTATTGTGACTGTCAAACCGAATGTTTTCATTTCTTGGCAGTCGTCTTCATCATTGTCAATGGCCATTTGATGGGAATTACGATGATTTTTTTATCGACTACTGTTGGGGCTAATGTTTTTTTAATCCAAACCAGACAGACGCTATTATCTCAGAAACGAGACAATTTGATGGAACAAGACAAAGTGATGAGCTCTGCCTGCTGCAACTGTCTTTTGTGTAACTGCCATACAATACAAACACTGCAAGACCATTTGGATTGACTCATATCATATTATTAGAATAAATGCAGTAAAGCCGTTGTAGAATGTTAAAAACACTGGGGGTAGATATCCTTTTCATCGGCAGCGCCAGAATTAAGGAATAGGTTGCCTGCCGACATTCAACATTCTCAGATCATTGACATCTTTTTAAGCGTAAAGTTCAGACTTATCTTTTTAAACAGACTTTTAACTAATTTCATTGCTTATGTATCAGTGTATATTTAATTTTCTTGTCTTTGATAGATATTTTAGATGTACTTACTTTTTTAACCCCTTTTTAAAGGGAAAATACAACATTTGCAAACATCAAAAAATAAAACTACCAAATTATTTTGAAATACCTTGCTGGACAGTTAGTGAATGACAGTCGAAAGCATCCTGTAAAATCATGGCACCTGGTGTAGTGTCATTTTCAAGAAAAGTGGTATTTTTGTATCAATTTCCAACGCTGGTCGGCCGACCAGCGTTGGAAACAAACTGGCTTTTTTTTCAAATACTGGCCCCAATTGACCATATTTAGTTAGTCCGCATTTGTCTGCAATCGATTACACACCTCACAAGGCAGCTAGACTGGTTCCCTGACCTTACAATTCCCCAACGTCTATAAATTGCTCTGTTTCATCTTAAATGGAGTCAGGGAACCAGACTATAGGAAAATGATTATTTTTCTGGTTTCATAGCATCTACGAACCCAGAACGTCAAAAAGTCAGTGTGACAATTTTTTGCTATATATTACCACCCCCCAAATCCATTAATTTCTGAAAATTGCAGAAAAAGCAAATGATGTATATTCCCTTTAAACATTGGATTTAATTTGTTTTAAATCTTGCTATTCTAATGTTAATTTCCGTGGTATCTTATGTAATGCCCAATTGATCATTGTTATGAAGACTGCACAATACAAATTTCAATTTATTATTATTATTTGCAATATGATAATTGCTCTATTATCTCAGACCAAAGATAAGCTTTTTTCACAGATACACATGATAAGTTTTCTTCTTAATGACAACAAGTTTGGCGCAAAGTTAATGAGGCTTTGTTAAAAATTACGGGGGGGGGGGGGGGGGGGGAGTTTGGAGATACCGTACTTGCATAAGATTTAATGTTAAATCTCTGACATTATCCAACAAATTCCGAGCTGTGAAGCCTGCTGAACCCAATAGGAGACTTCAGTGACTACAACAAAACATCTTGTGCATACTACTCAAACCCCCCCCCCCCAAAAAAAAAAATCAATAAGAGAAATCAAACTTTAGGGGAAAAAAAAAACAAGTTCCAAGTATGAGCTTCTCAGAACCAAACATTTCATACATTCCCAAATGTGGCAAAACAAATAAGAAATATTGTATCAAGCTGTTTTCATTCAAATCTTCATCTTGGACAGTCGTATCAATGACATGTTAACTCATTCTCACAGTTAGTGACATTTGTGACTTGGATCCCATAAAATGAGTCTTGCAATTTTTTGTCACAAAAACGTGTTTTTTTTTCTGATGCATTACAGAAAGTGCATAATATGTACTTCATTTTGAAATAGCACAATGTAGTTTGACATCCTGATACGAATAACGACATTCTGTGGTTGAAAATTCATGACAGTGCCTTATGATTTCCACTTGTTCGGTTCCAATAATAACACCACACAAAATCCAAACAATACTGTTCAAAAACCTAACCTGTTGAAGCTCCAGCTCAGTGGATATCCCCCTTTTGTTTTTTCGAAAAAACTGTCGATAAACCATGCACACTTGCACAACCTTTGGATCACGAAATGACTGATCGTGGGAAATCACCTACATTTCTTGATTTCTTCTATAAATGACAGCAAGCCAGATGGAATAATTGCACAGGGTGTTTAGCACCAGTATGATCTTTATTCCTAGTAGACATTTTGATAATAATTTGGTAGGTTACTTTTGTGATAATGCAAACAATCCTGTATGCCTGTAACTCAAAAGTAGCTCTGGTTTTGTGTTGGGTCACTTTTTTACTGCAGACAAATTTACTTCTTACTGTCAGATACTGAGGATACTTGATCGCCTACCCTTACCTTTGAAGGAGAAGCCATAGGCCGCGTAGGCCGCTGCTGTTCCAGCCACTGCCCCTGCCCTGGCTCCAGCGATAGCCGCCGCTCCGGTGCCCTTGCGCGCCCTGCCTGGCCTAATCTGGAGCTTCTTGGTGCCCGGTGAGGGGGTCGTCTTGCCTCCCTGTGACGCCCCACCACGCTTCCCTGATCCCGGTAGATGGGGCCTGGCCGAATCTGATGGACGAGACAGAAGAAGAAGGGCAGGTGTATTCAGGATTGGTTTCGAATATACGGTCCAAATTTCAAACCGAGTAGTGGAATTCAACCCGAATTAAAAAAAATCAGGATATTAATCCCACCACTACTGTTTTTTGGATTCAAGGCTCAACCCCAAAAAGGTCAAAACAGCTGCAGCATCAAAACAGTTGCATAATCAATTGAATTCCTAAAATCAGTCAGTCAATCACAAACCTGATCAACATGTTTCTTTTTTTTCCATGATAAAATGTAAATTGAGCTGGGAAACAAAGCAGCTACATAAATTCAAATAAAACACAAGGCAGAGTGAATGACAGGCAACTGAATAAAACCAGAACTAGACTTCTTGAGACCTGGATGGTTTTAATTTTTGGGGGGCCGATATCAATTTTACTGATTATCAAAACAATTAATAACAGGTGGTCGTTTTCAGGAATTATCGAGCGATAAGAAGTCATAATTCCACACAGGCTAAAGGACAAAACCACTCTCACACTCTGCTCGGTACGCTGTGACTTAAAACATGGCTCCTGAGCCAAAGGCTTTTTAAAAATAAAATCTATGATATCATTTTACAGGTACCTTTTGCTTTAGGTGCAATTTTTTTTTCGTTTGAAGCAACAAAATTGCTCACAATTGTACAAAGCTTGCATAACAACTAGCTTGTTGATGTTTCAGCTCAGAGGATATTATATACATTTTGAGAAAACAATTGTTAGGGTCTCGTAACTGGATTCCGTTTCTAAAGAACATAAAAAATTGTGGCCATGGGCACCTTTTTTTAAAAACCACCTTCAATGTTAGTTTTCTTCCGAACGATACCATTTCAGGCAGGATAATTTCACAGAGTATTTGCTACCAGTCCTATCTTCACTTTGAACAAGAATTTTCTCGATAAATTGGTAGGTAAATTTATGGGTAATTGCAAATTTCCCCACGTGCTTATTTGTTTCAAAATGAATAAAGGAAGGTTCTATAGCACTCTAAGCTTTGCTCCTGTATTATAGTATTTGATTTTCTTGTGGGAAAAACTAACATGTTTTGAACAGAAATCTTCAATGCCTAAAATCGTGAAGCCTGAGTCTGAAGCCAAAGCTACAGACAGAGCCATGAATTGAGAAACGGCATCACAGTCGTACATACATATAAAAAACCTATGACGGTTGCTGTGAATGCAATAATGGGGATTTTTCCAAACCTAGGTTATGCCACGAGCTTCGGCTACAAAAGAGTTTTTATCTCCCGACTCTAGCTAGGGAATCCCGCTCAATTCCATGTTCTGCTAATAGGCTTTAGGAACATCAAGTCCTATAATATGAGGCCAATGTGGAGAGTATTTCTGTTTGGCTTGGAAACAAAATGTGTGTATTCAGCCAGATTTTGAAAAAGTTAATGTTTTACATTGTTTACTAATCTTTGTCAAAGGTCCGATTCACATGAAATCCACATACTGTCTTACATTTATGGAGAAAAAGTTGGGGGAAAAAACCCTTTGCTTACATCTGATGCGGCAGTGTTTTTGAGAAACGTTTTGAAAAGCATTTGAGGAACATTTTGAAAAGAAACATATGTGACTGGAATGACGACTAGCGTTCCAATTGCTCAATTTTTGAGGACCAAAATTTTGCACCCCGAAAATCCTTTGTAATCCTTCATAATTCTTCAATAATTCAAAAGAGCAAATTTACATGAACCTACACTTTTAACGATCTTTCCAACTATTATTATTTTCTAGTAAATACATCTTCGAGCCCAAATGGGTGCTAACAATGATGCTTTAAAGGCTTTAAAGTAAACAGAAATGAAACAAAAGGCTGAGCTGAAGCCCACGCTGGGAGGAAACCCCCTATGTGTCTTACCGTCTAGTTCCCCGTCTCCCAACTGTGACTGCTCATCAGCGATAACAAGCCCGTCATTACTGTTCTCATCAATGGAGACTGGCGTGTACGTCTGCGACTGATGCTGTGTCTCACTTCCCACAGACACCTGGAAAATGCACGCAACAAACGATTCCATTATTTCAGTGATTGTGATTGGCAAGGTGTTGAAGTCGAGTCCATCACAAGTCCTTTCATTAGTTAATCGCTAAAGTCCTTTCACAAGTCCAGTCACAAGCAACAGGGGGTGAACAATAACAAAGGAATGGCTTTGTTTCAAATCATCTGAATAGCTTGTGATGTGACTTGAGGTTTTGGATGGACTTGTGAGGACACGTGGACTTGTGAGGACTTGTGATGGACTTGTGATAATTGTGAGGACTTGTGATGGACTTGTGAGGACTTGTGATGGAGTTGTGAGGACTTGTGAGGACTTGTGAGGACACGTGATGGACTTGTGATGGACTTGTAAGGACTTGTGATGGACTTGTGAGGACTTGTGATGGACTTGTGATGGACTTCAGAGGATTTGTGATGGACTTGTGATGGACTTGTGATGGACTTGTGATTGACTTGTGATGGACTTGTATGGATTTGTGATGGACTTGTGAGGACATGTGATGGATTTGTGTGGACTTGTGACAGACTTGTGTGGACATGTGATGGACTTGTGAGGACATGTGATGGACTTGTGAGGACATGTGATGGACTTGTGAGGACTTGTGACAGACTTGTGTGGACATGTGATGGACTTGTGAGGACATGTGATGGACTTGTGTGGACATGTGATGGACTTGTGACAGACTTGTGTGGACATGTGATGGACATGTGATGGACTTGTGAGGACATGTGATGGACTTGTGACAGACTTGTGTGGACATGTGATGGACATGTGATGGACTTGTGAGGACATGTGATGGACTTGTGTGGACTTGTGATGGACTCCAGTATGACACCGCCAAAAGATTTTCCTTCTCCTTTTCATTGCTTGTATTTGTGTTTCTTGCTAGTTTGTCACTGTGTCCTTGTGTCTTTGAGGAGGATTTTGCTAGGATATTTAACTTATAAAATGTGTACATTTCAGAAAACTTCAGAAGGTGGAGAGCTGTTAGCAGAAGCCTGTCAAGTCTTAAAGTCAGGATTTTTAGCTGATACAGGAATCTTCCTAGAAAATGTGAAATGGAATTTAGGGGAATATTTCTAGGATAGAGAACATTGTTTATGTCTATGAATGAGCATTTTCTCCGATATAAAGTCAAAGAAAAGGGTAAGATTTAGACCTTGGCAACACAAAGTTTACAAGTGGTGTTTGCAAATATTTGAAAATCAGAGCTAGACTCTGACCGAAAAGGTGTTAAAGGTTTGACACAGTAAAAACAATAATGTTCGGTAGAATTGGTGACTAAAAAAACTACTTTCGGACGAGCTCTCTTTTACAAAAATAGACATATATTTTTTAATCTACACTCAAGTATTTGATTCAGCTCCTTTTGTAAAAGGCAAAATAAAAAATAAAAATACACATTACAGTAAGATGGACTAACTTTAATTATGGCATGGTTTCTTATGAGTATCATTTGCATTTTTCTGTGTATACGCAATGTCTATTTGCCAAACTCTGAGGTGCCTTCTAAAAATTAGGGAGATGTACGTGAAAACAATTAGGCTTATCCCACGGCCTTCTAAGAAGATTGACCATTGGTCAAACAGAGGAGTAGACCAGGTGATAATAACCACCGCAGACAATTTCAGATTATTGAAACCGTGTCATGAGGGGAAGATATATGGGAACAAAAATGGAATTTATTAGCACGATGGTCAGACACACTGACTTGGGACCACTTGCAGACAACACGACTCCGTGTGACACAAGGCAATTAAAACTAGAAGAAAAAAGCAAACACAAGTTGCTCGTTAAGGAAAGGTTTCACAGAACGGCATCGGTAAAGGGAGCTTGAGAGACGAGGCTTGAAAACTCAGGAGTCTCTGGGTTGCCTAGAAGCAGGATTGGATAGGGAAAACGCGAGGTAATTAGTTGGGGAAAAAACAAACCCAGCAACATCAGTGACGAGCTTTGTCGGCAGAGATCAGAGGTTTAATGATGTTTGCGGACAGCTCAGACTATGTACATATCTCCGGTTTAATGTGTTCCTGTCTAACGACTTGTGGACATCAGTGTACACAGTTGGAAATGTCTGACTGAAAAAACAAACGCTTTTTTTGTTTTCTCACTTTCTCCGTCGAAGGGATGTCATAATTTCCGGTACGCAAAAGTTGCAGGGATGAAACAAGTTGAACCTTGGGAAAATGGATTTGTGTGGGTTGCGGTTCTTTGCAGGTATAATCACGGCGTGACGTCATTTTAACAAAATGTCCTGAGATACAAGGCCATGATGTTATTGAAAACTGGAGCTCCGTTAAATTCATACAAACAAGAACAAATGAGTTATGAGTTGGCGTTGTACTACAGATTCGGGGGGGGGGGGGAGACTGGGGGGAAATGAAAAATCCATGAGATAATCGCAGAGGGTTTGGTTGCCACTATGGGCCCTAGAGCAACGTAGGGTTTATGGTCTAGGGTGAGTCCAAAAAAGTGGAACCCAAACCCCAAAAATTATATTTCATATTTTACAAAATATGAAGAACCAAAAATAATAATGACTGGAAAGCCAATTGCATAAGTTCATTTTAGATAAAAAAAAATTACTTAAATTGCTCAATCCGTTCAAAGAATATCACCATTTAAACACAATGACCCTAAAACCTGTCTCGTCCAAAAAAGCAATTTCAAGAATCGTCGTCACAATTGTCTTCAAACATCACCAGCGATGGTCCTTTTGAAGGCCCATCTTTTAAAAAAAGTGGATTTAAAATAAATCATATTGTTTACATAACCAGGGTTGTTACTAATGATATTGTGTACTACAGTTGTTGACAGTTGTTGAAACAAGTATTCTGTGTCATTTTCTTTGTTGTTCCAAACAGTCAAAACACACAATAAATTGTTTTTTGGGGCAAGACAAGTTTTAGGGTCATTGCATTTAAATGGTGATATTATTTGAACGAATTGAACAGTTTCAATAATTGTTTTCATCTAAAATAGATTATGAAATTGGAATTCCAATCATTATTATTTTTAGTGCTACATATTTTTGAAATATGAAATATAGTTTTGGGGTTTGGGTTCCGCTTCTTTGACTCACCCTTTATGTATTGGATTTTCCTAAAAGGAAAAACCCATTGCATTTGTAATTCCAACTCAGTCAGACTGGACTTCTGAACTGACAAGTCTATATCACTGTAAGAATGAACAACAGGAGGAGGACAGCGGATAGATAATAAACCTTGGCTGAATAGATTGCCGCAATGTGCGTGGGTTAGAAATCATTGGTGAGGGAGTCTCATTGACGCAAACAAGTCAATATTTGACATCGTAAAAACCATCATCCATCTCCCCATTAAAATCCTCCTATGCAAACATACATTCTGTGCAAACATACATTCAAGTTGTCCTTTCAGTCAAAATCTATCAAGTGACTGTTTTCAACAGTTAAGAGCTCCCAGCCTACATAAAGCAGGATTGACTGGCTGTGACTGTTCATATGTGCAACTCAGTGTGTTCCGGTATAAACAGCTATGCTTTGACTGTAGGTGATTGATAAGCCAGCTGTGCCTACCACTTGCTTGTCCGTGTCTGTTGACTGAATTTGACTAGTCACAGTGTTTGCTTGAAATATGATCTGACTGTTGGTGACTAGCCTGTGTAAAAGGCATGGCAGGGGAAGGGGATTGATTTTTTTGATAGCAGGAGGTTTAAAGACACTATGTATGTCTTTCCCGTGACTTAAAAGTGACTTTCCCGATTGTCAGAAAGTTAAGGCTTGAATAGTCTGAAATTATGTTGTGGCAATATCTAAAAGGCTTCAATAAAAAGAAAACATGTACCCTCTAAACAAGTCTAGGCGAAGCCTGTAAAGCACACAAAATTCTATTCAATTGATTCAGAATGGTTATTCACTGGAAGTAGTTGCATGCATCTGGGCCCAATTTCTTGGCTCTGCTAAAAGTTAGCGAAAAGTCCCCGCTCACTATAACAGAAATTCCGTGCTTATGGTAAGCGTATTTCATAGGTTAGCAAGGAATTTTGGCTTCTGCACATTGCGTGCATCCTGAACTAAGGATTCTGTGCTTACAGGGTTAGCACAGAATCTTATCTGCTAGTGCGGTTAGCACAAAATGGTGATCTTAAGAACCAAATTCTGTCGTTAGCAGAGCCATGAAATTGGGCCCCGGTCTACACAATGACCAGATTTAGCCCATTTTTTGCGTTATGGGGTAATCCTACACAATAGCACTGCCCGGCTCAGAAGTGAGAGTCAGACAGACAGCTAGTCAGTCAGTGAGATCTACATCAAGGTACGGAGAAGACACTAGCTGGCCCTCTGGGACCAGCACTAATTTTCCCAACCAAAAAAGTATCAAGTTTTATCCCAAAAAAAAGCCGCAGCATTTTTTTCCCCAAAGATGTAGAAATATGTAACTGATTCGTTGAGTTATGAATTTAACAACAACAAACAAACCTCTCAACCATGTAAATCTCCCATTACTAAAAAAGTAATGAACCATTGATTATTCTGCTCCTTCATTGGTCGGATGACACATCAACTTAATTACATTTTGGGTCGTTTGACGCAGTGAAACGTAAACAGCAGCCTGCTGTTATCAGGATTACAACCAAACAAAACAAAAGATAACTAATTAAATGACGTCTTTAGTGATTAAAGAGAGACAGTGCGACAGATTGATTCATCGTGTGTGCGTCTGGTGTCTGAAGCACAACTCGCTGGTATGGACTATAAACACGAACTATAGATAGCGTTTTCTGACCACTTTTGAGATCCCCCAGTGGTGTGTGCATACTGGTTTTTGCACGTATGGTGTGAAGTATGCACCACCGATTTAATTCTGAATGTGTACATGCCTTGTAGCATCTTCGCATGTGCGTCAGGCACCGTCAGCAATGCGTTCAATCATTGGTCCCTCCCAGTGGTCTCCCCCAACTCTCCCTTTGCAACCGTTGAAGGGGTACTTGTACACAGAGCCATAAAA